GTAGGTAAAGTCTAACGAACAAGAAACCGGAATTTTTCAGCTTACATTTACATTACGCTCGCTTACAGCTGCATCCTTTAAAGCAGGTGTTCAGTCTTGTAACTCAGATACTCAACCGAAACTGAATCTTATCGAATTGCACAGAATTATACAAATACATGCATATTACTTGAGGACTCAATTTACGTGCTCGCGGCAAAAATACGTCAAGCCTACGACAAGTAACATTTCGTTGATATCTGAATCAAGTTACACACTGTAAAAAAATATCACCAAATTTGACTGTTCCGTTCGTCAATTACGCCGCTAAAACCGAATCTTGTGTACGTTACGTGAGCTTATATAAGGAAATTAAGTTCTAAAGCGCACCTTACACACTTATCTCAAGAAAAGTTATGCGCATATTTATATTAAAGATACTTAAAGATACTAAGTTCCTATCAGAGTTTGAATTTCAGTTTCTCAAGGTTTCAATCCATCATGTGAAGGTTACATATGACAGTCAGATTTTCCGAAAAATTTCTAGACGAAATATAAAGCAACACAGAAATAAAACTCTCGTGCTTTCGTTCCGAAATATGATTAACGATAGCTGCTAGCACACTAGCGACCAAATTGTAAAACCAATGAACACTGATAGTTCGACTTAAGTTCACATCTCGGTTATCGGGTTGGTTGCATGAAAGCTTTGTTTTATATCTCGTGTGTAACCTAAATACGAGTCAATTTCCCTGAAAAGTTTTCCACTAAGGCAACCTTGCCCTTAGGGAGATAGCCATGGAAAGTTTTGCCATAATTCCTAATCCAAGCTGTATTTCAAAATAACAGCTGAAATTGCGATGCGTACACTAGCAGCTAAGTGAAAAAAATCCGTCAAGCACTGACAGTTCCTTCCAATTTTGATTCCTTGTGACTGAATGAAGTTTTTAGACAATGGAAGCATTCCACTTGGTACTTACGTATTAACGTAATTATCATAGCAGAAGTTGACAAATTTTCAGAATGTGCCAAAATCTGGCAACCATGCGCATAACCATTCTTCCGACAACCATGCTTATAACAATCCTTCATCACCGGTTTTTATGAACAAATCTTGATATTCTAGAAAGCCGCTTTTGCGCGTGCTTGCTTGAAGCCGAGCCTTCGCAATTCTCTGATGCTTTTTTTAAGCGAAAACTGATCGCTGTGTACTTCGGGAAAAGAATAACGCAGAAACATTACAGAAAGATTTCAAGAAGAATGTAAATGCTTTATTTTTTTATTGCATCAGGTAACCTTTATTCAATAATTCAAATTTTTACACTATGTTTTCATATGTTGATAATAATTACCAATTTATGAAAAATATCGATACTTTGGGAATCTTTCTAAAACAAAGCCGCGAAAACCCTGTAAGTAACTTTTATCTTTTCACATGTAAAAAGTCGCCAAATTGCTCCAATTTTGTTGAATTAATACGTAAGTACCTTCCACTTAATATAGTAAGTAACCCTCTTTGATTCCGTAATATTTAATTTAGCCTAACGGATGCATAGCCCCTGTGAATCCATCCGATGCAATACACAATCATTTCCTGACAAATCTAAGCAACCTCCAATTAAAAAATTGCTTTGCCTAAAAAATAATGTAATATTCTACTCAGAGAAAGATACTACTCTAAGTAGTTCTAATGGAAGATGAAAAAAAGCCAACGCACAAACATTACCTATAGTTATACATTCACGATTTAATTGATGTTTGGTTCATTTATTGCAAAAACTACCAGTGTTCGAATGACATGCCCGCTGAACTCTGCTAATTCGGTACGACTTGAAATTCTGGAGGACAGACTGGCCGCATAGGAATTCTGTATATGTAAAGTGAATAAGAGCCAGTTTCTTACAGAAACTTCTCCACGAAGACTTCTCCTGTGGTAGATGATAGTTCTAGTGTATTTTGCTGTAGTGTAAATAATCTACTGCAATCATTTATTATAATCACTGAAGTACAGCAAATCATTTCATCAGCATATTTCGAAATACTCGTACCTTTTTCCTGCAATTTTCTTTACAGCTCAAAGGAGCGTAGCTGTATTAAGTTTCCGTCTATTTTATTAGCCTCAGAAGGACTATTAGTCTCGAAACTGGATTTTGCGTTGAATCACTAGTCTGAATCACTTTTCAAATTGTTGCCACCAAATCATATTGCCTTGTATTATATTTAAAGGATTTAAATAATAAAGAATTTGCATGAATGTATGCATGTTTTTCGCATTGTGAAAAAACAACGGTACCTAGAGCCATGATTTTGAATAACGTAGTCTTCCACTCGAATATGGACACCTGGAAGCCCGGATTTTGAATTTGTTTTATTGTGTGTTTCATATTTTGTAAAACTTTAACGAATTTTTGATTAACAAACTTCATGATTTCAACGCGAGCAATGGCAAAACTGTACGGAAAAAAAACATTTTATCTCCAGCGCGCGAGACTGTCTATTGGAAATTCTAAAGATAGGCTGTTTTTAAATATTTTTAGCCCAAATGCTCTCTAAACGTGTATGTGTATGTAAATGACGTGCGTGATATAAAATATGATTTGATATATGAAAGCATTCGAATTTTTTAAATTTTTTTTTAAATTTGATTTGGAGATATTTTTTCTTCTTTAAATCTTGCATTTTGTGTGAACCTTTATTGTAGAGTGATTTTTTTCATGATTTTTGTTATTATTTCAAAAAATATTAACTAGATCGCTATTTTTGTCATCTGATAACGTAATAAAATTTAAAATACACCGATCTTTCTCAAAATATAATAATTTTAAAAAATCGCCTCGAAATGCATAAATAGCATTTAAAAAGCAGGCCAGTAATAAAAGCCGAACTCATACAAAGTACCGGAATATAATAATGCATGATGTCTGCAAATTTTTAGGATTGAGGTCATAAAAGAACAAGGTTTAAAGAAACAGCTTTATCACTGTTTAGCTTTCTATATTCATCTCTCGTGTACATCTTCGCACGTTCTTAGCTTCTGGGTGACTCTGCGACCGCCAAACGTTGGAATATATTTCATTCTTGCATTATATTTCTCAGAATTTTTGAAATGGATCCTTTCGAATGACATTTCACTTCCGGGAAAAGAAAGTAACCTACACTTTCTAAATCGTCTGAGTGAAGAGTCTACTTAAGAAGAGTTTTAGTGTTAAGTAACTATAACGGAGTTACTGACTATTACTGAATTCTGCAAAGAGAATTATGTTTAAAAAATAAATAATAATCGGAGCCAGGCATTTCTGGCATATTTCGCTGAGCTGTCTTCCCACCCTCCAAGAAATCGGTTGTTATATAAATATATGACTTATTCTTTTGGTTGAAACAAGTTGGAACTTTCGCTCACCCAATTAAAGAAAATCGACGATAGGATCTTAACTCTAGGTTTCTGTCATAATGATGGGGCAGGATTCGAATCCCAGAGAAGGCATGAAAATTTATAACCGTATAATGTCTGCGCGGGATGGGGGGCACTCAAAATACAGGACAATCCAAAAGCCGTGTCAAGAATCTAGTGCGACGAGACTACACCCTGTATGACCAATAGTGAAATTCTGGTTTCCCGCTCTCTTATACCTGTATCTGTGGTTTTTCTCCTGTGGCAATCTAATGTTCGACTGCGTGCGCAGCCAAACCACGTCATGTGGTTTATGTAAAAACTGCTAGCGCGGCAGTGAACTCGCTCACTTCGCCCTTTGCTGCAGCATAGGATGTTTGAATTTTTAGTGTTTTTTGTTATTCGTTCTGTTATTTCAGTTGTGTTTAAAGTTATGGTGTGTGTGAATAAAGGTTATGTTTAAGGAAAAAGAGTCATGTCAATTCAAGGATATACACCAAGCACATAACCACCACGCCACCATAAAATGGTGACCCGGCGTCAATGACCATAAAATGGCGATCCGGCTACTCGCATCAAGCATATAGTGGTTGTTCGTTTAAGAGTTTGGTTCCAGAACTTTTGTGTTTTTTTCCCTTCAGCCGCTGACATGGAGGAAACAGCAGCTGTCAAGATTCCAATTTACAATCCGATTGACCCGGCATTGTAGTTTGCTATGTGTGAAGCAACTTTTGCTTTAGCCGCACCCAAGCCTATATTACGGATTCGAAGACATTTAACTACTGGATTTAACTACTGCGTCGCTCATTTGCCGCCGGAAATTGCTGCGTTGGTTAGAGATATCATTCTCCGGGAACGTACAGATGCTTCTTACGAAGACCTCAAAGCTGCTATTACGGAACGCTGTGGTGAAAGCAGTACGAATGAAATAATTACTCACCGGCGAGCAACTTGGAGATAGAAAGCCATCAGAACTTCTACGTATAATGACTACGTATTTGACTATATAAAATACAATGTGTCTGACTCTTTGTTACTGGAATTATTCATGCACCAGATGCCGCCAAATGTTCAATCTATTCTAGCGTCGGCTGAGCCGCTCGATTCATCGAAAGCTGCCAGTATCGCGTATAGAATATTAGAAGTTACACCCGCTCAGGTAAGAGAAGTTCTCGTGTAGCTCTCAATGTCTCTGAGTATTCTAAATTGGATTCCCTGCTGGAGGAAGTGTGCAAACTGCGTAGCGAGGTTTTGTCTCTACGACGGTCACGCAGTATTTCCAAAAATCGCTATAACGGGAAACGAAGCCCTTCAGCTAAAGCTGCTTCGAATTGTTCCTATTGTTTGTATCATCATAAATTTGGTGACAAAGCTAAAAAGTGTGTTCCACCATGTACATTCCAGGGAAGTGTACCAGGGCAAGTGTAGTGGGGACATGCGCTTTACCCTCTGAGTCTCGTCGCCTTTTCATTAGAGACAGGAAATCGAATAGAATATTTTTGTGCGACACTGGCTCAGACGTCAGTCTTCTTTCAGCAACCAGACAGGAAGCGCGTCAAACACCTATTATGACGTGGATACATGACGTGGATTGGCTGCGCACGCAGTCGAACATTAGATTGCCACAGATATGCTGAATGCTAAAAATATTATATCGACTACTGAATCTTATGTGTCACAACTTCGATCAGTCATGCATTTAGTTAGACCTATTCCAACCTCTAGGCATATTCAATCACCAATTTATGTACATCCAGCACTTCAAACCTGTTCTCGTGTATTTCTGCGTATCGATTCCGTTAAACCATCTCTAACTACACCTTACACTGGTCCTCATACTGTGGTTGAACGAATGGATAAAAATTTTATTATTGAGGTAAATAACAAAAAGATTACAGTTACAATCGATTGTTTAAAACCAGCATATATGTTGTCAGAATGTATAAATTCACCTGTAATTCCTCAGTTTCCACAGGAAGTCTGCGAAGACTCAAAAATTGTTCCAAAACAAGTAGTTACCCGAAGTGGACGTCGTGTTCATTTTCCTAAAAAACTAATTACTGTAATATGATTAAAGTTTTCTCTTGTGGTTAGCTGCAAATGTTACAATGTATAGATGCTTGAATGCTTTTTTTTTCCATACGTATTGAGAGTTATATAAAATGCTTATTAACTTTCATTATTTCTGTTTAACTAAGTTATGCATTGTATGGGTATATATTCCAATCAGAATAGTAAATGTATTATTACTATTCATATATTTGTATTTCTTTTTGCACGTACAATTTTAAAGTATAACTGTTATTTGAATGTGCATATCTTAAATTGGAAATTTACAGCCAACCCTTTTTGTGTCATGACTGTGTGACTGGGGGGATACTCTGTGGCAATCTAATGTTCGACTGCGTGCGCAGCCAATCCACGTCATGTGGTTTATGTAAAAACTGCTAACGCGGCAGTGAACTCGGTCACTTCGCTCTTAGCTGCAGCATAGGATGTTTGAATTTTAGTTTAGTGGTTTTTGTTATTCGTTCTGTTATTTCAGTTGTGTTTAAAGTTATAGTGTGTGTGAATAAAGGTTATGTTTAAGGAAAAGGAGTCATGTCAATTCAAGGATATACACCAAGCACATAACCACCACGCCACCATACTCCTATGCACTCTAAGTATAAGTCAATTTCAGTTAGAAAGTTCTGAAAGAAGGCATCCCTTTTCTTAGACTGTTGCCCCACCAGCGGTCGAGTGATTACAATCACTGAATACTGGTAATTCGCCCCGCGTTTGAATTCAGGCGTATGGGCTTGGTGGAGGGTTAGTTTCAGTGGTTTTCCCCGTGTATAACTTAAATGGAGCTAGTTTCCCTTAAAAAGTACTCCATGAAAGTATCCCTATCCTTAGGCAGACAGTCCTGTTGTGCTTAGCCATATTCAACTAACCTAATATAACCTATTCACGTTACAATAGGGAAAGCCGTTAAAACTTACCATGAAGCCAACCCGTTCGCCTAAAATCTCAAGCCCAGGTCGAATTCCCAGTAGTTAGAGGTTTTATCCGTTCTGCTACCGCTGTGGCTCTCCACAAAAGCACCCCTCCTCTAAAGCAGTCAGCCCTCTTGTGCTTTGTCATATGCAAATGATGTAAACCTTTTGGCAGATTGAGGATTCTGGGGGAAGAGGAAAGTTTTATCCCCAGTTCCCCCAAGAAAGACAGCGGTAGCTCTATTTAGACGTATTTCTTGGTATGAGAACATTGTTAAAAATTACTGGAGAGCCTCGTGAACTAAAGGCTTAAGCGCTAATGTTTGGCATTTGTAAAATAAATAAAGCTCTTAGGCAGATAACACATGAGTGCTTTGTGATACTTAAATCAGCAATTAGTTCCATAATTCCTTCGTGCAAGGAAGTAATTATTATCTCGGAATTTAATGTTTGGCCCAGGAATGTGTTTAAATTTCATCGCTGGGAGAAAAAAAAAAAAGACGAACGTGCATTTCATAATTTCGTGTACTAACCAATAACCGAAAGAAATCTTTAATTTGACCCTATCACTTAAATGAATGTCGCAAAAAGCTGCGTCAAGACCACTCTGGCGATATGGAGTTTCCCTTTCAAACGTTATCAGTATTGACGTCGCGATCGAATCTACGCTTTCATCGCATTCCTAATATGTTTATTTTTCGCTATCGATTCATTAAAATCAAGGTTGTTAAAGTAATTTATAAAGAAGTAGCCTTCTCTTAAACAAGTCGTAGCTTTTACCTCAAATCTAACAAACAGACCAACTTCCCGATTTCATAAACTTAATAATTGCATAAAGACCTTGTTACAAGTTGTTAATATAAATCGGTTTTGGAAGATGGGTGAAAATATGTGATCGAATATTTAAAATGGAATAATTAAGTCAAAGAAAAATGCAATTCAGTCGAATTTCTGTAAGCTTAAAGAAACTTTCTTCAAAAATAAATTTCGGTTGCTTTAGTCTTCTAGGGATTCAAAAATGGTTGAAATTCATTATATGCTTTATTTAACTACAGAAACTTATAATTGTTTATGGTATTTATAATGGGCGTAGCGTTTAAAGGACTTGAAAAATAAACATAGCTCTTTTTCGACTATTTTCTCATTAAATTTCTTGGTCCCCCCCCCGGAAAACAGTTCATTCTTCCTTACAGTAGAATTAAGCTCGGTTGGAATTTTTTATAAATGTATAATTGCACAAAATTATTTATACTCCATAATAACGATAATAATATTTCATAAAATAATCAGTTAACTCTAATTTACATTTTCGTGAAATGAACAAAAACAAATTTATTTGTACTTATTCCATTCTATATCTCGTTTTGCCGCCCAACTGGTATAGTGGTTAGCGTCGCTGGCTGCCGTGTTGAAAAGCCCAGATTCGAATTCGGGAGAAGGCATGAATGTTTGTAAATGTATAGTGTCGGTGAGGCATGGACGCACTCTAAATATGCGGCCAGCCGAAAGTCCTCTCGTGTGGTTTGGTGGAAGCGGAGAGGGGTGGGAGACCCTCAGATCTGTCGCCCCGGTGTGCTCACCATCAAAATTGGGGGCGGACTCAAATCGCACTGTCATCTGCTAGGTGCTCAAGGCGGTTGCCAACGGCAAGTGTAATCTTGCTCTCTTTGCCACGAAGAATTTCGTGGCCTTGGTCAGACAAGTGAGGATAAGTAGCAACATAACACATGTTTTTTTCTGAAAAAGATATAATGGTATAGCGTTACAAGCGCTTTGCACAGGGTATCTTTTCCCGCAGACTTCATCCATTTAGGATTTGAGTTTGATATTTAGCGAGAAAGACAGTTTTAATGGCTCTGAAAACTAATACGAAAGAACCTTTTCATCTGGGTAACTGTTGACCATAAGAAACTGAGAAGATAATTATAGAAGTGGAATATGTTTGAATCCCTTAATATAGACGATATTTGTCTTCTCGGAAAAAAAACTAGAGTATGAAACTGTTTACGAAGAAACGGCATAAGACTGTATAAGACGTTTCTTCTCAAGAATTTGTCCTCTTCGTACTTACCTGTCATCGTCATAACAGGAGCGCTAATACAGTTAAGTTTTAAGTGTGCATCTGCCACTGAGACTTTTATATCGTCGGAAATAACATTCAGAATATATAAAATGTTCGTCACCACGTCAACCCACATCTGGGTGACAGATATGCTTTCGTGGGGATCCCGTCAGCCAAATGTGGGTGACACTCTTCTCGTTGAAGATAAATTGGATTTTCAGTTAGACTTTTAAAACAAATTTAGTGAAATAAGCACCGAAAAATAAATATAGGATATGTAGACAAAAGTATTAAATATATACATATTAAATATATGTAATAAAAGTATAATACTATACTTTTATTAATTTATATTTAGGTTAAATTATTACATTATACTATGTCGCATGGTATTCGTGGAAACAGTCTAAATACATCTGAAATGATTTCGGACGACTAGAACGTAGTTTTTTAGTTTAGATCTTTAGTGTCTTTTTTCTTTAGTTTCTTTTAGTCCAAAGGGGCGTTAGCCCAGATGGGCTATTAGTATCGAAATGGCATTTTGCTTCGAATCACTAAAAACGTTGAATCATTTATCAAATAGCTGCCACCCAATACTATCGCCCTGCATTATATTTAAAGAAATCAAACAATGAAGAATGTGCATGAATGTGTGTATAATTCTCGCATTGTGAAAAAACAACGGTACCCAGAGCCATTTAATTTTGAATAATGTGTTCTCCACCGGAATATGGGCATCTGGAAGCCTGAATTTTGAATTTCAAATTTGTTTTATAATCTATTTTATATTTCGTCAAAGTTTAACGATTTTTGATTAAAAAAATCCAACGATTTCAAAGCGAGCAGTGTCAACTCTGTACGGAATAGAATATTTTTATCTCCAGCTCGCGAGACTTTTTAGCCCAAACGGGTGTTAGCTTAACCCTTTGCGGCATAGTGTGTCCGGTCTGGACACATCTAAAAATTTCCTTCTGTACGCACAGAAAAATTTAATGAAAAAGGATTTATAAGTTACTATAGGTTACTCTGAACCTTCTTTATTTATAGTAGATTGCAGCTCAATACAAACAAGTCCATATATTTTAGCCATGTTGAGTTTTTTAAGACTCTCATTTTTAAAAGAAATCTTACAGATGTTTTTAGGGTATAAAAGGAATCGTTTGAAAATAAATTTCTATGTTATTTTTTTGGCTGTATGCTAATCTCCTTATTTTATATTAGTTTTAAATTTTTACCATGAAATCTTGCCTAAAATCAAGCGGTAAACACTAGGTGTGCCCAGACGGGGCTCGCCGATCATCTAGGACAATTGAGAGCCTGTATTCTTTGTTTCTCTGCATCTCATCGGTCAGTTCATGGGCACACCCACAGAATTAAAACGATAAGTGCTATCTTCACAAAATTTTACTTGTGTAACAAACTTCACAAACTTTACTTGTGTACTATTGTACTCTAGGCCTAATTAGACTGCCTACCTTTATTTTTTTTAATCAAAACTCCAACTTTAAAAGGTAGTGTGCCGGAAAAGATTAAATGCTTTCGAAGCGTGTATGTGTGTGTAAATGAAGAAAGCGCTCCCTTTAGGTGATACAATTTTTACATACAACGCCCATCCTTCTGATAGGTTTGTCCTGTTGATATTTACGAATCTCTATTTATGGTGAGACATATTCTTCTTTTGTTTCTATTATTGTCTGGCGCAGCATTTTCCGAGGACAACCATTCGGTAAATCTCCGAAATTTTCTTATCTCTATTTTTTATTTGTGGCTTTCTGGTATTCTATATGAGCAATTACTATAGTTGTTCCTAAGAGTAAAGGTAGTGCTCATTTTCGATAACACATGATGCTTTTCCGTATTTTGTGGCATATGATACCATCTGGTTGCTCCTTGTCGATGTCAGTTTTTCCATTATCGACAAAGTTTTCTGTTTCGGAGGACGACTGCAATGAGGAGAATCGAGCGCGAAGTCATAATGGATGCACGTTTTGTTATAGTATTCTAACATCGCGAACATCTCTCCAATTTAGC